ATAAATATATTTGAAAAAACAAGGCTTAAAATGTTCAATAAACCTGTAAAAGGAACAAGGCTAAAGTGCAATGCCTGAAATGATTCTATATTTCTATATTCAAACGAACAAGGATAAAAATCTTTAAGAACTCTATAAGGAACACAAGGCCTGGATTAAGAATTTGGAATCAGTGGAATTGATAGCGTAGGAAACTGCCATCTGTGATCATCATATTGGGGTTTGACAGTTGATGCTCAAAGACAGTGCATACCTTGACGACATAGCCTCTAACACTATCCTCGTGTATTGCTGAGAGAAATTATTGAGCTACTTTAAAATCATGTATTTAAAATAGTTTCAGTAACTATTGGGCATTGAACTCGCACATTATGTTTGCCCCCTATTGGGCATTGACCCTGCACAACTGCGGTCCAATGCACTTATTTATTATATGAGTCATCTAATAGACCTACACTGTTGTTGATGATTCAAATGATGGCCCCTTTGTTACTGCTGAAGTAGCCGCCACTAATACCAATAGTATTATTGGCGTGGCTACCAGATTTATATTGGATTCTGATCTTCCCCCCTCCCTATTTACTGAAGTTGCCTTTGTTAGTGTAGTGATAACTGCTAACTTGTTTGTGCAAATTCATTCCTTTAATTTGTTGTTTATGCACAATTTCTTGTGTTGCCATCTGCCTAATTTGCTAATTACTTTCAAATGCACATTATTGTGTGTGCCGTTTATTACATTATTACATTCCATGTTTGCTGGCCATATTATCATTCTTGTTTATCCACATTTCATCACAGCCCTTTGCATGCTGGGTTTCTTTTACATTATGACTCACTTTCATTTATTTGTAAATTTATTTGTATTAATTTTGTTGCAACTTTTACATTACTTTTGTTTCCAGATCATTCGCCACCATTGGGCATGACAACCGCGCAAGGCGCGGTCCAACGCTAGTTAGAATAATAGAGCAAAACGACCGAACTTTAAACTCACCACCTCCCCCACACTCGTTTGAACTCATAAAAACCAATATGATCTCTCACTTTTTCATCTCACATGAAATAAGCTGCCAAAAAATGAGCAATACTAATCATTAAACACGCGAGAAATTCAAAGCGAATTTTGGCTAAGCAAGCCTTGTTACTTCCTCTCACTCAAAAACATGAAAACACAAACCAAAGAACTACCCACTCCCTTCCAGTTTTGACAACAAAAATTAAAGCAGAGTAGCAAACAAAAATATTAAAACAGAGACAAGTAAAAATAACTAAACTAAACTTATAGTTAATTGACGCTTCGCGTGCATCACAATAGCCAAATATCCTCATCAGCTCTATATTAGACGAGCCACCACACAAAAACTTGTCACCCTCTTATTTTTTGGTGTGTTTGCTTTCGCCCAAACCCCAATTTCAAGCCTCACCTAAATCTGTTCCAAAATTTAGTCCAAAGTTTTGCCATGGCGAACATCTGCGCATAGCATTGAACTAGATGCCATATATTGACCACTCATACCGCAACCTAAACATCTAATGTCGCAACCATCGTTCCCAGCTTGATCACAAACACTATTGGTGGCACATATATTTTCGCCACAAGACATATATAAAAAACGAAAAAACCGAATCCATAAAAATTGTTTGTAAAATCCACAACTATGGATATCTTATTCCGTTTTAACCAACCAAAAGACTAGAACCAAATACTAAACCCACACTAACCCTTGACTATGGGCAACAATGACGAAAAGAAAAAACTCTACTCGAGGGGCACTAAGGCGCTGCTTAAATATGGTTGTCATTAGGAAAAATTTCCGAAATAGGAGTAAAAACATTTGAAAAATTCGAAATAGGATTGTCATATTTTTATTCCCTAAATATGAGTAATTACTGCCAAGTTTGAAAAATACTGTCATGTTTATAGTCCGGTACTGCCACAACATGACAATAATTACTTTTATTTAGGGAATAAACACATAATAATCAATTTTTGAAACACACAAACGTATTTAATCCTATTTAGAGAAATTTTCTTTATCATTATTGTAAGCTTTATTACCAATATTAATATATTAGGTAGATTCTATGATACCCATAAGATGTCATACCTTTGTTCACATGGACTAATTAAAGTATTGTAGTTGAATTATTTAAATGAAAACCAAAAGCGATATAATGCTTTGGACTAATCATATAAATGATAAATACGATACCCCATTTTTGAATACGTACTACAGTTGTTAGTGAGAGATAGCTATACAAATATTAACAAATAAATTATCTCTCTTCTTATTTGAATGATTTAATACAATTTCAGTATTTTTTTCTCCACAATATCAAGAAGACCATCATTGTGATTGACATTGCAGAGAAAAAATTATCAAAATTATACAAAATTATTCAAATAAGATTTACTACCTTCGTCCCACTACGTTTAGGACAAAGGGGGTGTGGCACAACTTTTTTAAAAAAGTGAAATGAAACAATGGCATCAATATTACTCCCTAAGTTTCTAATTTGGGAAAACTATCAAATAAGCCCTTGTACTATACCGAAAAAGTCGATTAGGCCCTCGTACTTTACAAACACTCATTTAAGTCCTCAAACTATTAAAAAACGTTCGATTAAGCCCTTTCGGTCGGTAAGTAACCGGTTTCTTGGTTAAATGTAACTCGTTTCCCGGCAGCCTCCGTTGTTGGGGTTCGAGCACATCGTCGCCGTCGTCGCCGTTTAACCGGGAAACCGGTTACTTACCGAGCAAAAGGGCGTAATTGAACGTTTTTTAATAGTTCAAGGACTTAATTGAGTGTTTGTAAAGTATGAGGGCCTAATCGACTTTTTCGGCATAGTACGGGGGCTTATTTGATAGTTTTCCCTTCTAATTTCAAAAATATGACCAGTTTTTGTTTTCCCCAAAAAGTGATCCGGCTCCCCTTCCTTCCGCCGAAACATTTCACTTACATTACCATTGCACATTAAACGGACTACATACCCTAATTAATATCTCTACTTTGGCCCATGGTTATCACACGCAGTCATCATTCCACATCTTCAACGTTGCTTTGGTCAAACGCTATTTCCATGGCAGACGAGTCACCGCCATTGCTTGCCCTGCTAGCACTCATCCTGCCGTCGGCGCCCTGCGGTAGCACATCCCATCGCCATCGGCCAAGTTCTGCTGCAATCACCATCTTCGTCCCCTTCTGTGAACATTGTCTGTGCGAGAGAGAGGCCCCGACGCAAGGTGGTGATGAGATAGAGCTCGTGTTTCGGCCAGATCCATCGAGTACTTGAGCTCGTGTTCGTCCAGATCTGTTGGATTGTTGTGGCTAGAGGTGGCAGCGAGGCAGGGGATGTGGGCTTTCCGGTTCTGGGACTTTGGGATGAGGGTTTTCCGGCGGTGGGGTTTTGGGATGGGGGTTTTCCGGTGGTGGGGCTTCGGGATGGGGGGTTTCAGGTGGTGGGGCTTTGGGATGGGGATTTTCTGGTTGTGGGGCATCTGATGGTGGTGATGGGCGGTGGCCGGAATAGTTGTGGTCGGAATACTTGGTGTGCAGATGTAACTGCGGCGGCCGGCAGCGGCCGGCGGCGGCATTTTGACAGTAGGCAGCACGTCACTATGGTGGCGTCACTGTGGCGGCGTCACTTTGGCGGCGTCACTATGTCGTTGTCACTATAGTCGGCGTCGTCACTATGTCGTTGTCACTATAGCCGGCGGCGTCACTATGTCGTTGTCACTATAGCCGGCGGCGGTCATCGGTCAGAGATGGTGGTGGTGGTGGTGGATGTCACTTTTATCTCATGTCACTGATAGTGTTTCACTGTAACACTGTAGCATATCACCAATTCATGTAGAAGATAGATAAATATGTTTATTAACAATTAGTCACTTTTCTGGATTTTTTAAAAAAGGGTGAGTTTTTAGTGGTGATGGATGTCACTTTTATCTCATGTCACTGATAGTGTTTCACTGTACACTGTAGCATATCACCCATTCACGTAGAAGATAGATAAATATGTTTATTAATAATTAGTCACTTTTCTGGATTTTTTAAAAAAGGGTGAGTTTTTTGTCTATTGGCCTTTTATTACTAATATCCAGGTCAAAACCCCAAGTGAAATTGTGTGGTTGATATTGAATAAATAATGTGTGAATAAAGTAAGTATGAATTGTAACCATCCAAATATTAACAAATATGGTATGAGACAAACATAATGGGACGGACGAAAAAGATAAAACGGGACAAAGTTAGGGGGACAGAGTATTTGCTAATATTTATGTGGTTATCTCTTATGCCACATGTCGTAAGAGTTACCAAATCTTATCCTATTTAGGGGGTGTTTGGATCTGATTCTCAAAACCGATTCTGCTCCTTCATGGAGCAGAAGCAGAACTGGAGTGTTTGGGTGAAATTCCAGAAGTACTTCTGGAGCTCTAATTTACTCTCAGAATCAATTTTTTTAGAAGTTGGAGAGTACCAGCTTTTGAAAATTGATTCTGATTGCTTATGCTTTTAAAAAAGAAGCAGAAACAGAAACACTTACAAACTATCCCTTACTTATCTTGAATTCTTGATTCACATGGAGTTGATTTTGTTGGTGGATTGGCTGGTTGCATATCCTGTTTCTTAAAGCGTAAATAGGTTTAACTTCACCTCCTAATTGGTTGTTGGTGGATAGAAAATAGAGAGAATTCCCTAAATAGGAGTAAAAAAGTTTTGAAATTCCAAAATAGGAGTATCATGTTTTTATTCCCTAAATAGGAGTAAATTTCTGCCAAGTTTGGAAATTACAAGGCTTTAAACATGACATTTTTTTCCAAACTTGGCAGATTACTCCTATTTAGGGAATAAAAAACATGATACTCCTATTTTGGAATTTCAAAACGTTTTTACTCCTATTTAGGGTAATTTCTGTAGAAAATACTGAATAATAAATACTCCGTATATACGGAATATTTTTTATAAGAAATAAGATAAAGATGTACTGTATAGAGAGCACGCAAAGACACAATCTTGCCACCTATAAATCGAACTCAGTCCATTTGCAATGGATTCTTTTCTCTCTCCTCTATCTTCCCGTACTTCGCTCTTCTCCTTCTCCGGCACCGCCGCCCTTCAGATCGCTTGAAACCCCGCGTTCCGATTTGTTGTGATCTCTAGACTAATTTATTGTAGTTAATTAATAATTAATTTATTGGAACGGTTCGCTCGATCTCGATCCAGATCTGTTTGTGCTTCTGGTTTCTGTGAATATACCGTTAGAGAGATCGGGGTTGTAGCGAGAAGTTGATTTGTAAAGTGGCGGTGGTTGTGTGTCGGTGAAGCGTTGAACTGAGCTGGGAAAGAGACCTCGTAATCTCCGCCTGGAACCCTGTCGGTGGGTAGAAATCGACGGAATTTGGGAGTGATTTGCCAACATTTCATCGACTATCTTCTCCGTTGAGGTGAAAGGGAGTTTAAAACGACGCCTTTTCAGTGAAGCGGTTGGATTGTTGAAAGATGGATCAAGATCTGCGCAAGAAGGTTATCTCTTCTTCTCTATTTCCCTCAATGTATGTTAGTGTTAGGCGTTCATTTCCAGTTCTAAAATGGCGCCTCTTGCGTATTCTTCTCCTTGTCTAGCCATTACGCTTCTGATCGAATCTGTTTTCTTGTATGGCAGAGTTCGAAAGAGGTTGAGTTCTTTACAGAGTATGGGGATGCAAACAGGTATAGAATCCTGGAAATTATAGGGAAAGGGAGCTATGGTGTTGTTTGTGCGGCCATTGATACTCATACTGGGGAGAAAGTAGCAATTAAGAAAATAAACAATATTTTCGAGCACATCTCTGACGCAATTCGGATTTTGAGGGAAGTCAAGTTGCTTAGGCTTTTGAGGCACCCTGATATTGTTGAGATTAAACGAATTATGATACCTCCTTCAAGACGGGACTTCAAAGATATATATGTTGTTTTTGAGCTCATGGAATCCGATCTTCACCAAGTGATTAAAGCCAATGATGACTTGACACAAGAGCACCACCGCTTTTTCCTCTATCAGATGCTGCGTGCTTTAAAGTACATGCATACTGGTAATATTGCAATGCCTATCCTGTGTTTTGTACAAAAGAAGTTTTATTTTGTTCATTCTGACCTTGATTATCTTGTTTCAGCCAATGTTTATCACAGAGATCTTAAACCAAAAAACATATTGGCAAATGCAAACTGCAAACTAAAAATATGTGATTTTGGATTAGCAAGGGTTGCATTCAGCGACACACCTACGACTGTCTTTTGGACGGTATACTTCTTCCCTTTATATGATCATTGTGTTGTGCGTTGTGCTACCGCCTATCCCTAAAAATAGTTGTTTACACTGATGTAAAACTATGTTGTTTTAGAAGGATAAAACTATTTGAACCCATTAATTCTAGCAGTTTCAAAATTTATGTTTTGGTTTAATTGATTATGACCACTGTTCTAAAAGTCGCTCTAGGCGCCCGACTAGTCCCCGCCTAGGCGCTAGGCGGTAGTCGGGCGCCACGATTTTTGTCTAGGCGCTCCGACTTATTGGTTTGGCGCCTAGGTGAATTAGTCGGCCGCCTATGGCGCCTAGTTGCCCGCCCAAAGCGCCTAATCTCCGCCTAGGGCGTCTAGATTCATCAAACAATTTTTTATTTTTAATTTTCTTTTTGTAAGAGATATATGTACCTTTAACTTTAATCATGAATATGAAGACGGATACTTGTAAAGTAAGATAAAAACTATATATGTTTGTGTATATATATATATATACTTAAACTTTATTATTATTTAATATTTATAACATAATGTAGTTAAGTCATTAGTTATCATATATTATTTCATGTGACAATTCAATCATTCATGCATGTTAATGTGTGCATATATTTTTCATAGATACACAAACTTGATACTACCATTTTACTAGTATTATATATTACTTATCATATTTATGCAAAAATATTAATAAAAATACAATTTTTGTGCCTCCGATTAGTCCCCGCCTAGGCGCCCGCCTAGCCGCCTAGGCGCTAGGCGCTAGGCTGGCGCCCGACTGGCGCCTAGCGCCTTTTAGAAACTTGATTATGACTAATAGTACTTGTTTAGTAGTTCAAGAAAAATAAAACTGCAACGATTAACTATAATAAAGTTATACTACGTATGTTCTTTATTAAATAGGACTCTATCATAGGCTTAAAGAAGTTATTTTATTTGTAGTCTTTTGAAGTATTCATTCATTCTTTCTTTCCAGTTACCTTGCATTGATGTTTTGTTGATTTTTTTTCTTACTGATGCTTTTGCAGGATTATGTTGCTACAAGATGGTATAGGGCTCCTGAGTTATGCGGATCTTTCTTTTCCAAGGTAAATATACTTCCATCAGTGGCTCTTGAGTTAGTGCTTGATAGGGCATCTTTGCCTGCATTCATTTTGTTGTTTGTTTGGTCAGCAACTGCGTGGTTATTTTGCTCTTATCCTTCCTTGTCCATGAAAATTCTTACAGTCTTGTTAGTGTTCATTCTAGAATTCAACACGCCTTCTCTTAGTGCGTTAAGTAGTACAGTAATGTGTAGATAATACAATTCTTGTTCAGGGAGGACTAATGAACTCTCCTGGAAGTTGAATTTTCTTTCTTCAGGTAACCGTGTCGGGTCTTCAGGTCATCTTTTTTGGCAATACTTCAGTTTTGTCTTAACTGTTCGCTGTTATTCTTTTTTGCAGTATACTCCTGCCATTGATATTTGGAGTATTGGCTGTATTTTCGCTGAGGTTCTGACGGGAAAACCACTTTTCCCTGGGAAAAGTGTCATTCACCAGTTGGAATTGATTACTGATCTTCTGGGGACACCATCAGTAGAAACTGTTTCTGGGGTAAATGAAGAAAAAGTGGTTTTCATATGCTGCTGGGGTGTTTGTTCTTCTCATCTCCTGTGCAATTTATCACATTTCCATTTTTGGTAATCTCAGGTTCGTAATGAGAAGGCCAGGAAATATCTAATGGACATGAGAAAAAAGAACCCCGTTTCTTTTACCCAGAAATTTCATGGGTTGGATCCTTTGGCAGTTCGACTGCTGCAGCGGTTATTGGCATTTGATCCCAAGGACCGGCCCACTGCTGAACAGGTAAATTGTGCAACTTCATGGGTCCTTTTGCAACCTGGAAGATACTAGGAAACCTTAGGGAAGAAATGGAGAACGGAAGAAATTGTGGGAGACTAAAGAAAACTAAAAAGCAGATTAATATTTGGCACTTGTTCAAACTTGTATTCATATATTTCTATTTCTATTGTTGAAATGTAGCCATGTTTAGCTTTCCTTTTCATTTCATAGTAGTTATTATTGTAAGATAAAGAAATCTAAATGTGTTTTAAACCGGAAATTACTAGGGCAAGGAAACAAAATGCTCTCTGGAAGTGTATCATACTACAAATCCTGGGTGATTTTGCTCTTCAACTCTGACTGTGTTTGGTTTCTCCAGGCATTGGCAGATCCATACTTCAAGGGATTAGCCAAGATTGAGAGAGAACCTTCCTGTCAACAAATCTCTAAACTGGAATTTGAGTTTGAGCGCCGGAGGTTGACAAAGGATGATGTCAGAGATTTAATATTTAGAGAGATATTAGAATATCATCCACAACTTCTTAAGGACTACCTTTCGGGAAATGAAGCCACAAGCTATCTCTACCCAAGGTCTTAGTTGTTAAAGTAATTTTTGTTTTTTTTCTGTGACTATACTCTAAGAAAGGGGATTTGACTTTTCTAGTCGATGCTTAATGGAAATTATTGTAAATGCAGTGCTATAGGTCATTTTAGAAGGCAATTTGCTTATCTGGAAGAAATGAGTGGTAAAAGTGGGCCAGTGATTCCTCCTGAAAGAAAGCATGTCTCTCTTCCACGGTAGTAAGGCTGTGCATGGTTCATTCTTTATTTTCTTCCAGGCCTTTGGTTTAGTTATCTAAATAAATAATGAATAATATGTGCAGTTCTACAGTTAATACAAGTACTGTCCCACCCAAAACCCAACCAACCGCATCCATGTGTGATCATCGACGGGTGACTGAAGAAGTATCTGCGGGCTCCAGAGTTACAGAGACTCCTTGTAATCATGTACCCAAGGTTTCACGACCACCACCACCTGTGCCAGTAGCTGCAGGTAGGGTGACTTTGCCAAGTTTCATTTTTATACCATATTTGAAACTCAAAAAATGTTACGGACACGGAAAAAGTTGTGAAGGAGTTTTTAATCTTAGGTTGTCTTTGGTAAATAAGGAAAAATTTTGTCAAACCCTTTTGAATTTCACATACATTAGCTGTAGTCTCTACTCTGTATATAGTGTATTAAAATACACTGATTTTGAAAAACTATCTACTCCGTAAAATTTATTACTTGACTTTGAATCCCCCCATCCTCATTTTGTTTGATTTCAAATTTCCTCCCTATTTTCTTTCCCTCGCGTCTCCCAGATATCAAAATGCTATAGAAAGTAGGGTTTAATGTTAGAAACTTGGAAAATGCAAAGAAAAATCATTTATGAAAATTATATATTTCAGTAATCTTAGTCTGAATATAACTTGAAGCATAAAATTAAAATGAGATTGAGGGAATATCTTAAATTTGATCACTTGAGTTGGATCCAAAATTTTAACTTCTCCTACATTTTCCCTCTATTCCTCTTATGTTTTAGTTCCCTAGCATTTTCTGAGAGCTTTTAATTGAGTTGGTTGTGTAAATAACCTGTTAAGTGTTAACTTTGCTTCTGCAGCTATCCCGAGAGTTGTAGGTCCGGTTTTACCCCTAGATAGTGAGAGAAGGACCAGGGAGTGTCATAACGGGCATTTATGTTCACGGAATCCCGTCATGCATCCGCAGGGAGTACCTTCCCATTATTATGTATATAGGAATAACTCAGTAAAGAACGAAGAGCAGTGTGTTGCCGATACTGGGAAAGAGTCATCACAGCAGATTATGATGAAACAGCAGCCAGACGTGCAGCAAGATGCTAAGCTAACCCCACCTAGGACAAATGCCAGTGGTGGTGTTATTAACCGCAACCCATATTACCACCCGACGCATACAAATAACATCGTCCAACTAAATAGTCAGATGGTTGCTCTTGATGCTAAACTTATGCAGCAGGCGCAAACCCATCGTGAAGTCGGTGCTGTTGTTCAGTATGGTCTGATCTGACCCGTCTATTTCAAATGCAAGTGTATCATCTAATTTAGAGTATAGATCTGAAAATTTGAAGAGGGCTAGGTAGTTTCTGTGTCCTGTGAAAATCATTCATGTTATTAGTGTGCCCTCATATGTATGCCCCATGTAAAAGTAAGGTATTGTTGTATCATTTGTTTCCTGAATAAAATAAAATAAAATAAACTTTCTCCTCCCCAATCCCATGGATATGTATTTAACTTTCTTAAACTCTTAGAGCCGTAGTACTTTATTAATAAAAAAAGTTTTATGAAGAATAGGTAAAATGATCCTCAACACTAACTTTAGTTAATATTAATTATGACTTTACATTTTTTAATTATGTCATTACAGTACAATTCAACATTTCAGTGCGTGAGTAGGGATGGACCCGGGCCAGTTCCGGTTTGGGCTTGGGCCCGGCCAGGCTTTTTCTCTGTGAAGGAAGAACCGGAACCGGCCCGGGTAGGCAGCGGTTCCGGGCTGGTTCCGGTTCAATGTTTTTTTCTTTTGCTTTTGTAATTAACTCCCAACCTCCCCCCTCCACCCTCCAAAACACCCAACCCAACCCGGTAGAAACAGAAAAAATTGGAAAAAAAAAATTGGCCCGAACCGGCCGGGCCGGTTTCACTTTTAGGAGGCCTGAGCCCGCCCCGGGAATTGAGCGGTTCGGTAGTCCCGAACCGGCCTGAAGACCTGCCGACCGGTCCAGGCCGGGTTCAAACAGTACCGGGCCGGGCGGCCCGACCCGAATCCACCCCTACGTAGAGATGGACACGGGCCGGTTCTGGTTCGGGCCTGGGCCTGGCCAGGCTTTTATTTGGGAATGGTGGAACCGGCCCGGGTAGCCGGCAGTTTCGGGCCGGGCCGGGCCGGGCCGGTTCCGATTCAATGTTATTTTTTTGATTTTCTTAATAACCTCTGACCCCCCACTCCCAAACCCTCCCCAAAACACCTAGCCCAACCCAGTAGAAACAAAAAAAATGAAAAAACCAAAAAAATATAAATTAGGCCCGAACCGGACCCGGACCGGTTCGCATTTTAGGGGGCCCGAGCCCGCACCGGGATTAGAGCGGTTCCGGTTGGCCCGAACCGGCCCCTAGACCGGGTACCGGGCCGGGCCGGGCCCAAACATTACCGGTCCGGTTCCGGGCCGGGCGGTCCGACCCGAGTCCACCCCTACCCCTACGCGTGAGGTTAGAAGTTAGGTGTTTATTCAAAAGTTAGTAGGTAATTCTTCGATAAGTAAAAAAACAGGTGATTGTGTTTTGTAATTACACAATATATGATTGAGGGAAGTTTCAGGGTTCAAAACATCAATTTTGAACACTCCAACTTAATGATAACATTAGCATCAATTATAATACATTGTCATATATAATTACAATCATACACGTTTTGAGCAAAATGGAGTAGTATCACAAGCGTTGTACGCACTATCGCCACCTTTTTTTTTGGAAAAGTTAGAGCATTTCCATTCTTCAAATAAATGTTTTTTCCACATGACAACATCAGGAAGGATTTGGCATGAAGAAAGAAGCTTTTAGAAAAACAACATTTGTCCATAATAACTTTCCCTAATAATAAACCAAATCTCGATCTTTCAAAGGCTGAATTATGTATTTGAGGATTTAACAAATAACAAGTGTCTTCCTTTGCCCCCCAACTATTAATTTGAATCCCCTGTTCAAATTTAAGCCTCAAAAACAAAGAGTATACTCATTTTCTTTGATGTTAGCCCATATGTTCTTTTGACCTTATAAACAAGATACCGATAAATTATGTAAGAACATAATAAATGAATTTACTAACAAACCAAATTGGGTATATTTTTAAAGACACTATGGAGACTCATTATTTGTAAAAATGACTACATCTACTCTGTATAATTCATCCAGTCAACCTACCTACAATCATCTATCTTAACCAATCTGACTTAAAAAGAATTACTCTAACAAATTAACAAATACGGAGTAATTCATAATGATAAATTGAAACAAAAATTGGAAAACTAGCTAACGAGACTATCTATCACTACGTACATAATTGGCCTATTCCAGGTGAAAGATAGCTTCAGCAATGTTTTGCACCATGATAGCTTTGAATGAGTTGCTAACAAGATTAGGAAAATCTTTAAGTCCTTTGATTCCAAATTTCTTCCAAACACGGCTTGCGGGCTTGAACTTATCAAATAAAACCCAAAGAGAGGAAATTCCCGCCTCCGGCATTAGCAGCACGATTTCGCCTGTGGGAGTAGTCGTAAGAGTGCACGAAAATTTACCCCCGGCCACCGCTAACGCAGCCTCCACCTCGGAGGGAATGGGGAAAGTGTGCGTCTTCCAGCACGATGCCGAGTTAGCCACAATGTCTAAATTCCACATAAAAATCATGTTGTTGCGGAGAAGAAGTATAGCCAACTGACCGTCCAATTCTAGGAACGAGGACTTTAGGAGACTTCCCCATCGTGGCGTTTCATATGTGATCGGAGGGAGAGGCATCCGACGGAAAGTCTCAGACCGAACATCGAATGCCACGACGGGGAAGGCACGGTCTACCGCGCTCCACCCACCGAGATGATAACGCACAAAATTATAGAAATAGATCACGCTGTTTATGCAAACACCAGAGGTGAAGCTACAATAAGGGTAAAATTGGAGAGAGCCCTTGATCTCCCGCCAGGTCGCATCTAGGCCGAGGGTGAGCACCCATTGCTTGACCGTGCAGTCACTGAAACAAGCTTCCAGCTTCAACACCTTGAATGTGTCCGAGGAGCCGTCGAGCCCCAAAACCGCACAACCCTCGGCCTGAGAATCGGACCAAGCGGGAGATGGCGGGAGAGGCGTCTGTTGTCCCGTGCAGAGGTTGCAAATCACGACCACTCCTTCGCCATTGAAGAGACATATCCGATCTGCCGCGGAAGATCCATACCGGAGATCTCCGAAGCAGGAAACTCTGTCCATATGCCTAACACGTTTCGCTAACTTTCCGATTCCGGGCTGATTTTCTTCATGGGATTTGAAATTTACGGTGTAAAACTCCTCCGGCCGGGGAATGTACTCATGCCGCCAGCTTTTGGTCATGAAGTTGGGAGCCGGGATCGAGAAGAGAATGGTTGTGCCGTGGGAAGCCGCCGTGGACCAATTCCGGTGAAACTCGACGAAACTGGGGTCGGTTATGATGCAACGGAAAGATTTCGAAACACAGCAGAGCTTCCCACGAGATTTGGCGCCAAGCCTAACCAGAATTTCAAAAAGAATGTCATTATCAAGAAGAGAAAGCTGGAAGAAGTTGGAATTTTGATTAGGCAAAGGAGTTGGCATCATAGGGTTCGTGGTTAATGAAATTCATTCGCAGATTAATTGAATAGCTTCTCTTAGGTTGTTTTTATGATATATTTACACAGAAAATTTAAGTCCGAACGGGTTTAGAAGTTCAATCTAGTTTAGTTATTTCCAGCCGGTCTATGTTTAAGCAAAGTGATAAAATTTCAAAGATTCGATGGTATTAGATTATGTGGACCAATATTTTAAATAATACTCCGTAGTACATTAGTCCTACGTAATAAAATTAAGAAAAGGAAAACTTTTTCATAGGAGTAAAATAAACACATCTCATATACTTTACATGAAGATATTGAAGGATAATTTAGAGACCGTTTCGCAACCCTGTTTTTTTTGGCTTATCAGGCTTATCAGCCAACTTTTTTACCGAACACGTAAGTTTTGCTTTCGCGCGCTGGATTGTGTAATAAACAGAAAAAGTAAGGTTGTAGTTACTTTTTTGGCTGTATTGGCTGAAGTTACTGTAGACGACCATTTTAACTATTTTACATATAATTTTTTCCTTATTTTATTCATAAAATATATTTTAAAAATAATTTTTTCTTATATCAACAGAATCAGCCAATGCAATCACTTCAGCCAGAACTTCATAAATTTCAGCAGAATCAGCCAAAATGGCCGATTTTCGTGCTACCAAACGGGCTCTTAGAGTTGATAATACTCATATTGGTTGAATCGATTATTATGTTACAATTGATGATGCTACAACTGAATTGGCTGAATTGATTAAATGTGCTGAATTATAAAATTTGTATATTTAAAATATATTCTGTTAACAAAGGTGAATAAAGAAGAGTGACTATTAACTCTTAAAAAATGATAATAGTACTTTGGGGGTATTTTAAAAAATATTTTTAAAAAACTTATTTACACAAATATGACTTACAGTTACTATATTGTAATGTCATGACTTATAGTTACAATGACTCGATTACTACTATAGTCACTAGTCACATTTGTATAAATAATCTTTATTTTAGTAAAAAATATGTAAATATTTCTCATATTTTATAACATTGTACGTAAGAAACTTATTATTCTGGAGGTTCACATTAGGAGAAATTTAACACGAGTAATATTTTATAAGTAATAGTTTGGTTATAGGAAGTACTCACTCCGTCCCGCTAAAATTATCTTATCTTTTCTTTTTGGTCCGTCATACTAAGATGGAAAAATTCCCAAGATATGACTTAGTTATTGCCAGCACAATTGTGACTATCTGATCTAAGCATCATCTTCGTCGTAAATCTATCTCTGAACGAGAGTACCAAATGATGGAGTTCAATTCCAACTACGAGAGCTAATCTACGAAAAGCAGAGAAATTTAGACTGTGTAATGCAGTTTATTATTTAGGAGGTGGATCCCTTTTAGGTAAAGTACAAGAAGTATTTATAGACCCAGAGCTACAGTAGTCTAAGGAGATTAAACTTATGCAGTTAATATATTTAGTTGTGATAGGACTCTAGTAATGTCTCTGATTATTCTGCAAACATTACTCCCTTAGGTCCACGCCTCTTCCGTTAGTTCTTTGTCGCTGCCAGATAGCTATGCTCAATAGATAACCTACCACGTAAGCCCCAGGATGCGTCCGACCTTTCTAGAATCCCACCCGAGCTCGAGGTCTACTGTACAGATTCGGCCTGGTTGGGGGTTCCTCTCGCGGGTAGAGGTCCTTGTTATTCCCCGTGACTATATCAATCCCAGTCAATGGGCTTGGTTCGATGTCCCGTGTAATGGGGTTTATTTAATTTATTCATGGGCAATGGCTGAGATCTATGATACCACCAATTCATCTTATACTACCTCCGTTCTTAAATAGATGCAATATATGAAATTTTACACTATTCACATGTTCTACTTTGACTACATTTTATTTATTGATGTATAAAAATATATTGTTAAATTTGTCTCATTGTAAATTTTCAATATCTAATTTTTTTAATTTTTTACTAATACAAATTGATATATATTAATGGTCAAAGTTGTGTCTCGGCAAGTGTGAAATATTTCGAGAGTAATATATTTATTTAAGAACGGAGGAAGTATGTAGGTTTGTATAATTACGACCCTCCCAGCAAGTCCGACTTGGTCAAGTTTTGTGATCGAGGCTTGTGCGCTTGTGGGATTTGATGGCTCCTCGGGTACATACAAGGTTTTGAAGTCAGAAGATTGCTTCCATCTCTGCAAGGTCAAGCATTGGGTGGTAGCTCACTCTGGGTGTGGATGCAACACGGCGGGAGATTAATGCCCCTGATTGCCATTTCAGGACTAGTGTTTGCATAAATGGCATAACCTATTTTGAGAATGTGCTACATAGAAATCGAAGTTGGTGGATGGAACTAGACGGGGGCTTCCGCATTGTGGCATTCGATATTCGATCTGAGATTTTCCATGGGATGGCTCACCCCCTAGGTGAAATGGAATTTGATCTCGTGAAGTCCCCGTTCCTCGAATTGGATAGCCCGCTTACTGTCATTTGTCTCCGTCACAAGAGGCTTATTACTTGGAGCTTGGACTCGGCATCCTGCTGGAAGAAGAACGTTTTCCCCGTTCCCTTCGACTTTGCGGTGGAGGCCAGCGGTATATCTTTATTGTACTGCACTATCAAGACAACTCCGACTGGGGAAATCCTACTCGTAATGCCCAACAAGAGGGGGACATGCTCTCTTTGGGTATTGTTTGACAAGTTCACTTGCCCGGTTTGGAAAAAATTTGGAATCAAAGGGCGTGGTGAATTTCCTAACTATAATAGCGAGATATTCAAAGCTGCCAAACCTATCATGGTGCTAAATGTTGAGGAAAATCTCTTCCATTTGGAATAGGCCAATTATGTTAAAGAAAGAAACAAGAGAAAGATTCCAATTTTTAACTAGTTTCCCAATTTTTATTTCTACTTATTATCATGATTTGATATATGTTTTCAACTGAATTGTTTGTTACTTCGTTAGAGTACTTTTGAAATCAGACTATTGAAGAAAGATTATTTGTATGCGGTCCTCATCCATGTCTATATAGAGTGATGAATGGGTCACTATTTGCTGCCTTACCTTTTGCTTGGCAGGGAGAAATTTTTCTTGACACAAAAAAGTATGCAAGCTAAGCGATCATTCGAGTAACTATTACCGATTTTCTCCAATTCTAGGTAAACCAAATTTATAAGACTTAGGCAAAAGTATTCTGAATCTTTATATACTTCTCTGAGTCATATCTACTAGAGAAAATTATTTGTATATTAATCACTAAACTTGATTCACTCTTTTCTTTAAATATGATCATTAAAAACAGATGGGAATAAATTGAAAATTTAAATATGATGTTGCTCTTAACCGATGTGAGTGCAACATCTAATGATAATGAGACTATAGCAAATGTTATTTTGAAATGATATAAAAATATGGCCCTGAATGATACCTTCTATGTTATAACTAATGTTGAATTAATTAATGCCATGTCACCCATGTGTAGTGATGGAAAGGCATGCAGATATTGCATTTGAATCTCTTATATTTATTTGAAATCTTACATAATAAACTAAAATACGTATGAGTGTCACATAGGTGTAGGTCTTAGCTAGGGAGTGTTTGCAACAACTTAAAAAAAGTACTTCATAGCCTTTGACTTAAAAAACACTTATTTATCAAACACTACCAATTTTTACTTTTTCTCGGCTTGCGTGTGAAAAGTGTTTTTCCTTTTTTCTATTACACAAAAAACACTTATTTTACCAAACACTACCAACTTTTACTTTTCAAAATCACTTTTTTCTCAAACACTATCAACATTTACTACTAATCACTTTTTCCTTACATCTCCAAAAGTGTTTTTTTCAAGCAGAAGCAGTTGCAAACACTTCTTTAATTTATATGGCATATTTTTAGACTCGGACCAGTCTTTATGTCTGGGGGTGTGCATTCGACTTTGTTTTGTTTGTTTCTAATTACTAATGGCCGGTGCTATTATGCTTTTGCCCCCCTTTTTTTGGATGAAATGTAAATATATATTAACACCCACAAAAACTTTACATCACATAATCTAGATCTACTAAAAAAAACCCACCCCCACACAGTGTGGGGGTGAAAAGAGATTTTTTGTTGATCTAATCCATGTCAAAAAAACCACCAAGTCTAAAAACTTGGCAAATCAAAACATACATCCATCATCCATGCTACGGTTGCTACATAAGTAGCCACCCTAGAGCAAAAGTTCGGATGTTAACAGGACAAAACAAAGAGGTATCCAAACCCCCCGTATAAGGCGCTGCCCCAGCCACAGCATCCAAAACAGTCCATGCCGCGGGACACATGTGTCTTTATGGCAGTGTCCATCTTCAACCCTCGACGTCCAAAAGGATTCTTGCTTTGGCATTCTTCAGAATTTAACCAATTCATGTGGGTAGATGTTGAATATGATTTTATACACCACATGCTTGATCTTTGCGATAATATCTTCTTCAGTCTTCTTTCCATCATCAAATCTGATTTCGTTCCGCGCATGTTGAGCTTTTGACCCTTTGTTGTATCCTTATGAAGCATGTTACATTGATTTAATTACTTCTTCCTTAAGCATCATTTTTCTGATTTTTTAGAGGAATGCACATGGTTATTTAATACTACCTCCGTCCCAAAATTAACTTCCCGTTCGGTTTACGATGCTTGACTGACGATAAAACAACTCGATCCCTGCTCACACTCGGATTATTTTTAGTAAATAAAATTTACATATTCAGAAACTACATTAAAACCGCTACAAAGTCTGATCAATAAAATTTAAATTTGATAAAAATTTGATATAAAAAGTAAAAGATTACAAGTGATTCAAGTTGACCAATGAATAGTGACTGTGAAGTTGTTTTTGGGACGGAGGGAGTAATGTTTAAGGTTTTGGGCTGAATTTACATACACCATCACTCTTATTCTTGAAGATGAAGACGGCATCAGTTATCCATTTTTTGTTCTCAAACTTGAGCAGTTAAAAAAAATGGACTTGCCTAGACTTACAAGCCCAAATAAAGGTGAAAATCCCATTTCCTAAATCTCACCCCTTCACGTGCAATTTTGAATCTAAACGACGCCAAGAAGAGTCTAGGAAATGTAGAACGGCAACGGTTTAGGTATGCATATCTTCATCTTTATTTCATTATATAGCAAAGTTTGTATACTTAATAATTGTGGTTGGATACGTCAATTGAGCCAACAACGATGGAGACACGACATCATTGGTAGTGATGGATGCAGCGATGGAGCTGGTGGTGATGGACGCGACGACAGAAAATACACCCATGGATGGCGGCGGGTTCACTGAAGAATTCAATTCATAGCTTCCATGAAGCTTCCTCCATGTGCAAGAATGACAAGGGGAGCTTCCTCAACCACCATTGAAGCTTCCTCATGTTCCATTGAAGCTTCCTCCTAGCTTCAACACATCTTCCTCCCACCTTCATAGTACCTAGTTTTGATGCTATAAATAGAGAGCTTGGAGTGTCTTTCTATCATCAAGTAAATTAGAATAGATCATCATAGCACAACCAAGAAGAGTTGTGAATATCCTTGAGAGATATGTGAGGTGTTTTGAGAGTTTTTAGTTAGAGCTTGTATGTCTCTTCTTTCTATTCTTGAAAGTAATAGAAGTGTTTTTCTCTCATATAAGCACGATCCTGTTATTCCCAACAAGTGGTATCAGAGCCTGGTTGAGCTTTTGATACTTTTCCCAGATTTTTTCAGATAAAATTCTACTGTCTGAAAAGTCGAGTTTTTCAGTATTGCTCGGAATTGCAATCTGAATATACCGTTGGATTCGTCTCGTCGAGACGAGAAAACTGGTATTTTTGGGGATTTTTTTGGCCACCGGAAGCTGCCGTACGCGCCGCCAAACGCAGACCAAAAACTGCCTGCGTCATGCTGATGTCATCACGCGCAGACAGAGGTTGAAGACAGTTGACGTCATCGCTGACGTCATCAGCCAGAGCTGCGTCAGCGACACGTCAGCGCCACATGTGCAGTCCCAGCACAGTCAACCGCCACGTCACCAGTCAACTGCCAACTTTCACCAGCGCCCAGTCAGCTGCCACGTCATCGCCCAGTCACTGCCACGTCACTGCCACGTCACCGGTCAGTTTGTAATTTTGAAAATTTGCAGTTTGGTCCCTCAATTTTTGGAAAAATTATAATTTCCACCTATAATTTTTCGAAAATTGTATTTTGACCCCGAAAGTGCCTACCCACCACTTTCGGCCGTTCCGGACGCAACGGTGCTGCCCGTTTTTCGAAATTCGGCTCCGATTTTTCTGAAACAGAAAATCAAAATTATTTAGAAGGTGAAAATGACCTTTGACGAGTCAACTTCATCTTCCGGAGCTATGATTATGCTCACGGCTACCAATTACACGCTATGGAAACCTCGGATGGAAGATTTCCTTAGCTGTAAAGACCTTTTTGATCCAGTAGAGATGAAAGGTATTAATCCTGACCCGGCCAAGTCAACGGAGTGGAAGAAAATTAATAGAAAAACTATTGGTCAAATCCGACAATGGATTGACCATAGTGTCTTCCACCATGTTGCACAAGAGACCGACGCTTATGCCCTTTGGAAGAAGTTAGAAGATATGTACCAGGCCAAGACTGCTAGGAACAAAGCCTTACTGATGAGGCGTCTTGTCAATATGAAGCTCAAAAGTGGAACTTCTGTTGCTGAACATACTAGTCAATTTCAGAGTCTGGTAAATCAACTGTCTTGTGTAGAAATGCCACTTGGAGATGAAATGCAATCTCTACTACTTCTTAGTTCCCTTCCTGATAGTTGGGAGACACTAGTTGTTACTCTCAGCAACTCAGCTCCAGATGGCAAACTTACCATGTCTGTGGTCAAGGATGCACTGTTCAATGAGGAGGCAAGAAGGAAAGACATGAGCACAGATGAGACTCATGCCCTTGTGACGGAGAATAGAGGAAGATCACAAGGAAAACAACAAAGAAACAGTAGAGGGAAATGGCAAAGCAGAGGCAAAAGTCGGGGGAGATCATCAGATGGCCGGAAACCTTCTTATACCTGCCACCATTGCGGTATAGAGGGTCACATGAAGAAGAATTGCTACAAATTGCTAGAGGAGCGAGGCAAGAGCAATTCTCAAGCGAAGAACAAGGGTGGTGAAGCGCTCATCACAATCTCAGGTGATGTGGCGTATTGTACTGCCAATGATGAAACATGCCTTCACGTCTCAAGAGAGGACACTGAATGGGTGGTAGATACTGCAGCATCCTACCACGTTACTCCCCACAGGTACTACTTCACAACTTACAAAGCTGGAGACTTTGGAGCAGTGAAGATGGGTAATTCCAGTTCATCTGAAATAGCTGGAATTGGTGATGTACAAATAAAGACGAGTTTTGGGAGCACAATCACTTTGAAGGATGTCAGACATGTTCCAGACCTTCGTCTCAATCTCCTGTCAGTGGTATGTCTTGACGAACAGGGATATGAAAACCACTTCAATAGGGGCACCTGGAAAATGTCAAAGGGCGTTTTGACAATCGCTCGAGGACATGTTTGTGGCACATTGTACAAAACTCATTTGAGGATTTGTACAGATAGCCTCAATATTGCTGAGGAGATTACTCAGAATCTGTGGCATCTGAGGCTCGGCCACATCGGTGAGAAAGGGTTAACTACCTTGATGAAGAAGAACCTTATCAACATCGACAAGAATGCTGCACTGGGTCCTTGCAGTCATTGTCTGTTTGGTAAGCATAATAGAGTATCATTTAGTTCTACTTCAACTAAAAGATCGGAGTTGTTAAGTTTGGTACACTCCGATGTCTGTGGTCCTTTCGAGGTGGAATCAATCGGTGGAAGCATATTTTTTCTGACTTTTATCGATGATGCTTCTCGGAAAGTGTGGGTGTATTTCATTATTACGAAGGATCAGGTATTTGAGTACTTCAAGACATTTCACGTCTTGGTGGAACGTGAAATGGGAAAGAAGCTGAAATGTCTTCGATCAGATAATGGAGGCGAGTATACTTCCAAGGCGTTCGATGCATATTGTAGAGAATATGGCATTCGACATGAGAAGACAGTACCACGCACCCCTCAGCACAACGGCGTTGCTGAAAGAATGAACCGGACTATCATGGAGCGTGTCCGGAGCATGCTGAATATGGCTAAACTTCCGAAGTTATTCTGGGGAGAAGCAGTCAACACCGCATGCTATCTTATGAACCGATCACCTTCAGTACCACTGAACTTTGAAGTTCCAGAGAGGCTATGGACAGGTAAGGATCCTACATACTCACATCTTAGAGTATTTGGTTGTTCATCGTATGCACATGTATCCAAAGAGCTCAGGCAGAAGCTCGATGCAAGAACTATCCCATGCATTTTCGTTGGCTATGGAAATGAAGAGTTTGGATACAGGCTATGGGATCCTAAGGAGAAAAGGGTGTTCAGAAGTAGGGATGTTTTGTTCCACGAAGATTTGACAATAGAAGACATTGAAAAACCCACAATGTCTCGGAAGTCAAATGAGGGTGTTCAAGTTTCAAATGAAGTACCAGAAGAGGACAAAGTGCATGAAGATAACTCTGAAGCAGAAGAAGACGAGGAGACAGAAGAGAGTGCAGGGCAAGGGGAGACACAATCCACCCCGTCAGACACAGATGATGGTAGCTCTTCTCAGATGGTTCCTACTGTTCGTAGATCTGAACGAGGGCATATACCATCGACAAGGTACACATCATCTGAATATCTTTTGTTAACTGAAGATGGAGAACCAGAGAGTTTTCAAGAAGCTGTATCTCATAAGGATAAAGAAAAATGGCTAATAGCAATGCAGGATGAGTTAGAATCTCTGCAGAAAAATCAAACTTATGAGATCGTAGAACTTCCTAAAGGGAAGAAGGCACTGAGGAACAAATGGGTGTTCAAGCTGAAGAAGGATGCAAACGGACAAGTGGTGAAACACAAAGCTCGGTTGGTTGTCAAAGGGTTCCAGCAGAAGAAAGGAATTGACTTTGATGAGATCTTTGCACCAGTTGTCAAGATGACCTCGATCCGAATTATACTTGGCTTAGCAGCAAGTATGAACTTGGAGCTTGAACAGATGGATGTGAAGACATTTCTTCACGGAGATTTGAAAGAAGAAATCTATATGCAGCAGCCGGAAGGTTTTGAGAACTCAAATGATAATTTTGTGTGTAAATTATCTAAGAGTTTGTATGGCTTGAAGCAGGCACCAAGGCAGTGGAATAAGAAGTTTGACTCATGCATGAAGAGTCAAGGCTACAAGAAGACTACTGCAGATGAGTGTGTATACATCAAGAAACTTCCAGACGGTACCTTCATTGCTCTTCTACTATATGTAGACGACATGTTGATCGTTGGGAAAGATGCAGTGAAGATAAACCAACTGAAGAAAGAACTCTCTAAGTCTTTTGATATGAAAGACTTAGGACCGGCTCAATAGATTCTTGGGATGCAGATCACTCGAGACAGGAAGAATCGCAAGTTATGGCTATCTCAGGAGAAGTACATTGAACGGGTACTTAAGAGATTCAACATGAATGATGCCAAGCCAGTAAGTGTTCCACTTGCGAATCACTTCAAATTGAGCAAAAGAACATGCCCTACATCCAAGGAAGAGATCGGGGAGATGTCAGCAGTTCCATATTCTTCAGCAGTTGGGAGTTTGATGTACGCCATGGTATGCACAAGGCCAGACATCGCACAGGCAGTGGGTACAGTGAGTCGTTTTCTCTCTAACCCCGGGAAGGAGCATTGGGAGGCAGTCAAATGGATTCTCAGGTACTTGAAAGGTACCACGAAGTTATGTCTTTGTTACGGAGGAGCTGATCCAGTCTTGGAAGGCTACACAGATGCTGATATGGCAGGAGATACTGATAGTAGAAAGTCTACTTCAGGATATATTTACACTTTTGCAGGGGGAGCCGTTTCTTGGCAATCAAGATTGCAGAAGTGTGTCGCTTTATCTACAACAGAAGCAGAATACATTGCTGCCGCTGAAGCAGGTAAGGAAATGTTGTGGCTAAAGCGTTTTCTCCAAGAACTTGGGATCCATCAGAAAGAGTATAAGGTACATTGTGACAGTCAGAGTGCTATAGACTTGAGCAAGAACTCCATGTACCATTCTCGTACAAAGCATATTGACATTCGGTATCACTGGATACGGGAGACGATTGATCAACAACTGTTGAGACTAGTGAAGATCAATACAAAGGCGAATCCATCAGACATGCTGACGAAGGTGGTGACACGGGATAAGCTAGAGCTGTGCAGAGACATAGTCGGGATGCTTGTTTTGAATATGCCTAGAAGGGGAGAATTGAAGAATTCAATTTCCAGGTCATATCCAAGTACAAGCAAATTGAAGAATTCAATTCATAGCTTCCATGAAGCTTCCTCCATGTGCAAGAATGACAAGGGGAGCTTCCTCAACCACCATTGAAGCTTCCTCATGTTCCATTGAAGCTTCCTCCTAGCTTCAACACATCTTCCTCCCACCTTCATAGTACCTAGTTTTGGTGCTATAAATAGAGAGCTTGGAGAGTCTTTCTATCATCAAGTAAATTAGAATAGATCATCATAGCACAACCAAGAAGAGTTGTGAATATCCTTGAGAGATATGTGAGGTGTTTTGAGAGTTTTTAGTTAGAGCTTGTATGTCTCTTCTTTCTATTCTTGAAAGTAATAGAAGTGTTTTTCTCTCATATAAGCACGATCCTGTTATTCCCAACATTCACCTATGAAGGAAACGTGAAACTCAACAAGGGGAATTAGGGTTTGAGCTCTCTAATATAAGAAGGGTTGCTTTTGTGCATTCTTTTATAATAAATCCTAATTAGATGTCTGAATTGGGATGTTTAGTTTGGGATGTTTTTAATTGAGATGAAATGTTTCTATTCTGTTTAAGTCTGATCCGTTAGATGTTAGTTTAGTTTAGTTTGGTAGATGTCTGAATTGGTTTAGTTTAGTTTGGTAGATGTCTGGTCTATGTATATTATACAATTGTTAGAGTATGATATGATATGTTCTGATCTATTTAAGTCTGATTAAATTTGATAAGAGACTATAAAAACATTGTAGCCCTATTATAATATAGTTTGGGAACTAAAACAAATACTCCACACACAATAGTGAACAACTCGTCAACTTCTAAGGACTTGTTTTGCTTGGGGTAATCTCACATGAAGGCTGAAATATGATGCAAGTAATGTTATATATTCATGTTAGATTCGTGGGAGAAAAAATTCGGTAAAGTTACATTCAGGGGATGTAATATGAAGGGGAATGCTAAACCCATCCATGCCTTGGGTTATTTGATATTCCTGGGGATGTCCTAGTTTTTTCCCAAAATACTCTCAATTAATTATCTCTTTTCATTTAATTTCTTTTCGAATTTTCCAGTTAAAGGTTTTCGTTCACTATTTTCCAATTAAATAGAATTAGGAATAAAAAAGGTAAAGTTAATCATATTTAGGAGAAACCAAACATTAAGTCCTATTTTGGGAAAAAGTCCATGTTTTTGCCTTAGCCATGTCAATTTTCTCAAATAACATAGTCCTATTTGTGCATTTATGGATTAGATTAGTCCTATTTAGGGCTATTATTTCTAAATTTATTATTTGCATTATCTTCCATACCCGCGCTTAGCCCTAATATAGAGCCTGTTTGGTAGCATGAAAATCGGTTGATTTGGCTGATTCTGCTGAAATTTATGAAGTTCTGGATGAAGTGGCTGCATTGGCTGATTCTGCTGATTTAAGAAAAAATTATTTTTAAAATATATTTTATTAATAAATTAAAGAAAAAATTATATTTAAAAATAGCTAAATTGAACATCTACAGTAACACTTCAGCCAATACGACCAGAAAAGTAACTCAAATCATATTTTTTTTTTTTGCTTATTACGTACATAATTCAACGTGCAAAAACAAAAGTTACGTATTTGGTAAAAAAGTTGATTGATAAGCCTGATACACCGAAAAACAGTGTTGACAAACGGCTTCATAATCTAGTTTGAGAACTAAAATAAACGGTGTCCAAACTCCTTTGGAATTTGGGACGACCGACCTAGATGTACGTGTGTGCCATACGAGTATAAAAACAACCATCACATGCGCCCGCCATTAGATTGATTTGGCAAATTCAGATGGGGCGATTTTCGAAACCAAGGCTTCCTTTTCCTAATAAAACCCTGCGGCTTTCTCTTCTTCCCCGGGACATACTTTTTGAAATCCTGGTTCGGCTTGGCGCCAAATCTCGGGGAAAGCTCTGCTGCGTTTCCAAGTCCTTCCGTTCCATAATCACAGCTCCCAGTTTCGTCGAGTTTCACCGGAATTGGTCCACGGCGGCCTCCCACGGCACAACCATTCTCTTCTCTGTTCGATCTCAGTCTGTTGACTCCCTGACCCTGCCGGGCTCTTTCCAGCTCGAAGAATTTTACACCATAAATTACAAATCTCTTGGACAAAATCAGCCTGGAATGGGAAAGCTCCTTGAAGCAAAACGTGTTTCCTGGTCCAGAGATCTCCAGTACTGGTGTTCTGCACCCGATCTGATATGCCTCTACAATCGAGACGGAGCGGTGGAGATTCCCAACCTGTGCACCGGACAACATACGACCCTCCCGGCAACTCCGACTTGGTCGGATTTTGAGACCGAGTCTTGTGCGCACGTGGGATTGGATGGCTCTTCGGCATACAAGGTTTTGAAGTCAGAATCTTGCTTCGGCCTCGACAAGGTCAAGCATTGGGTGCTCACACTGGGCGTGGATGCAACATGGAGGGAGATCAAAGCCCCTGATTGCCATTTCAGGACTAGTGTTTGCATAAATGGGGTAACCTATTTTGAGGATGTGATATTTCGAAATCGAAGTAGGTGGAAGGAACTATTCGGTGGCTTCCCCATTGTGGCATTCGATGTTTGGTCTGAGACTTTCCACGGGGTGGCTCGCCCTCTAGGTGAAACCGAATTTGATCTCGTCAAGTCCTCGTTCCTCGAATTGGATGGCGCGCTTGCTATCATTTGTCTCCGTCACAATAGGCTTATTACTTGGAGCTTGGACTCGGCATCCTGCTGGAAGAAGAACGTTTTCCCCGCTCCCTTGGACTCGGCGTCTTTATTTTACTGCACTATTAAGACAACTCCAACCGGGGAAATCCTACTTGTAATGCCCAACGAGAGGGGGACATGCTCTCTTTGGGTATTGTTTGATAAGTTCACTTGCCCGGTTTGGAAAAAATTTGGAATCGAAGGGCTTGGTGGATTTCCTAACTATAATTGTGAGATGATCAAAGCTATCAAACCTATCATGGTGCAAAATGTTGCAGAAAATCTCTTCCATCTGGAATAGGCCATTTATGTAAAAGAAAGAATGAAGAAAGAAAGAAGAGAACCGAGTCTTGTTAGCTAGTTTTCCAATTTTTATTTGAATTTATTATCATGATTTGATATTTTGATATATGTTTCCACATATAGATCATTCAAAAACGAGGGTCCTGTCTGCCCCGGGAATAGAGATGGCAATTGTGACCGATTCGATGGATATCCGCACCGAACCGTCCCGATCAAAATGGGGAAAACTGCATTGACCGGGTAATGGGTACGGGGCGGGGAATACCCATTTTGTTTTTACGGGTAACGGGGCGGTTACGGTTTTATGCATGCCCGCCCCATTACCCACCCCGTTTATATTTAGTTATATTTTTATTACATTCTTATCATTATTTGTCCCACAACTAATAAAAGATGAGATTGTTAATGTTCATTGTGTATATATGGATAATAGATGTACTAACTACAGTGTAAGAATGAAAGTTCTCAATAGAACTTAATAGCCTTGTTTAATTACTTTTCAGATTAAGTATTTTTAGGTTCAAATTAATTTAAGTTCTTCTTTCTCGTCTTATAGATATATGAAGCTTTAAAGTGGTGTCTGAGTCTAGCATCGTCTAGGAAGCTTTTCGCCTTTTAAAATATTATTTTTTATTAAAATATCAATGACTCATTTAATAAAGTGATATACCCGCGGTTATAACCGTTACCCGTTGGAGCGGTTATGGGTTGGGTAAAAATTACCCGTTGGGTAATGGGGCGGTTATGGGGCGGGGGAATTACCAAACGGGGCGGGGCGGGTACGGTTATATGTAAAACCGTCCCCGATCTGCCCCGTTGCCATCCCTATTAGGGGACGAGGCTAGTGATATCACCGCCACCCCCATTGACCACAGAGTTTCTAGCTATTCCCTTCTCTGTTATAATCTCATGCATGTTGAATGCCACGTCTCCCAAAATAAAAACAAAAGAAAAAACATTAAATGTGGGCTGAAATTAAAAATGATTATTTAAGCTGCCGTACAACGTTATTTAGCCTGACATGAAGACTACTCTCTCTATATATATGGGAACTCTTCACTGCCGTGCGCCCTCCACGTTTTGAGGGCCTTCCCGGTGGAATTTGTCGATGAAAATATTTGAGCATGTTCTTCATCAAGTCTAGTACGTCCATACCAAATCTCAGAAAAAAATTCAATCGGGAAGGCAATCAAACGATTTTTGGAAGATAACTGCGTTTTATATGTATATAAAGGGTGCAGTTATCTTCCAAAAATCGTTTGACTGCCTTCCCGATTGAATTTTTTGCTGAAATTTGGTATGGATGTACTAGACTTGATAAAGAACATGCTCAAAAAATTGCATTGAAAAATTTCACCGGAAAGGCCCTCAAAACGTGGAGGCCGCACGGCGGCTTCGGTAAGGTATACCTTACCGGAAGTTTTTCCTATATATATATATGTATATATATATATATATATATATATATATATATATATTGAAACAAATATTAGTGAGCTAAATAGGTAGTAAAATCTTGAAACAAACAATCAGTTCAAACAAAATAGGCAGTAACAACACAAATTATTGATTAGATTAACTCAGACAGAAAAATTAGTGATATACAGATGTTCATTTAGATCACTTATGTAAACATTTAATCAAACAACATATGTGCACAATATAATGAATGCTTAAAGAATTAGAGAGTACCTCTGCTACTTGGGCACCCAAGAATTTGTTCTTGCAAAGTTGGGTTGATGTGGTTGAAAACTACACCCAGAAAGAAATAAATATAAAAGTTAAAGCAGGCAATAATTTCTTTTGAAAAAATCTGGCTTTTGATTATGAGATCAAACCATCGTGTATTCAAACAGTACAACTCTTTTATCACGTTTTTCCGATCAATATCGTAAAAAACACATTAGATTATCTCAGCCAGGAAAATTAGTGACATACATATGTTCAATAAGATTATAGTTTGGAGGTCTCATAGTTTGGTGAAGAGCTGGGTGTGGTAAAATCGGTGGGAAGATGAGAAAACTAACAATCAATCCATTATTTATGTAAAAAATTGCAGAGCAATAGTAGAGGACCAGAGCTGACACAAGGGTTTGTTCTACACTCTAATTCTAAATTATTAAAGCATCACTAATATTATTATTAAAATTGTATTCTTTAGTCTCCATTTTTAAACGTACTTCACATTTAATGATTAATGCATTAATTATATAAACAACTAGTGTAGTTTTACTTTTCTATGTTATTCCTCCGTAATTTTTTGTTTGCTACATTTTCGTTTTTGGATGTATTCAAAAATATGGTACACTTTTCCTTTTTAGTAAGTTTTTCCTTTAAAAATACTCAGCTATCTTTACTTTTTCTACTTTTTATCTCCTCTTTCATACTTTTCCACCATCTCTCCTACTTTTTTCTACACTATTCATTACCCCTACTATTTCACTCCTAAAAAATGTGCCAACATCTAATGTAGTAAACAAAAAAATACGAAGGGAGTATTAATTTTATATTTGTAACTAGGGAAAAATAACAATAACTAATTTTATTACTTTTCTATTTGTATAATACAATGTCCATGTATAATTTTGTCACCGTTACAAGATCACGTCGTAAGGTAACTATTAGTGTTATAAATGAGCATACACTGAGCTCTGATGCCTAGATTCGCCGGTGGTCATTTGAAATATTATTTTCAATCTTTTAACAAGAATAAGTTGTACAAGCCTCAGTATATACTTCATTATCGTGTAGCATCAAGCTTTGATGAAACATGCTCATTGAATTCAAGCTTCAGTTTCTCAATGGATCCAGGGATAATTGGAAGGGTGAAACCTTGCTCCTATTCTGAGTTGGAAAGCATAACTGATTTCGGGGTGCCCGATAGCCTGATTTCGACATCATGTGTAGGACGATTGTTCAGAGGAACCATTGACAAGGGATTTGAGAAATGACAAGTGATTGTAAAAACGTGGGATTTTCCCTTTCTTGGTGGAAATCATTTTCAAGACCTGCCAAATAGATTTTGGAATCTGATTGAGCTATACACAGACAATGAAGTAAGCAAACATCCAAATTTGGCGAAGTTATATACGTACTGCTACAGAAAAAGGCTGGCAGCTGTCTATGATCAGAAATTCACAGCTGTCTTGTGTGACATGCTTCTTGATGATGGCTTTGGGTGGCATAATCGGATTAAGGTGGCAACTCAACTTGCAGATCTCTTGGCATGGTTGCATGATAGGAGGATTGCAGTTGGCTCAGTTGAAGGTTCATGTATTATGATAGATGAGAAAATGAATATAAAGGTGCTTGGATTTGGCTGTGTTTCTCGTCACACAGATGAAGATTCTAAACTTCCCGCGAGTAAATATTTTAATAGAGAGGCTTTTGATGTTCATTGTGGAGGTGCAAGGATGATGAAATCTGATGTTTATGTATTCGGGATTCTACTAGTGGAGCTGATAGCAAAAAAGAAGTACGACTTTGAGATGACGCCATACAAACTAAAATGCGACGTGGAGGATATGGATTCAAATGGCAAAAAAGGATTGGTTCACGAGTCATTCGAAGAGGTCGATAACGAAACCACAAGGATGATCACGGAGCTCACAAAGTCCTGCTTGGATGAGGAACCAACGAAGACGCCGAAGATGGAAGTTGTTTCTGGCTGTTTGAAGGAATTGTGCAACCGTAGTCTTTAAGGAAAGTGGGGTTGTTTGGGTAGAAGCGTTTTTGCCCCAAACGTCATTTTTTCCGATGGAAAACGCTGCATTTTGCAGCGTGTTGCCTCTCAACCGCAGTCTTTAAAGAATGTGTCTGCAGCTATCTTCGTGTTTTCTTCATTTCCATTGTTTTTACTTTTTACTGCATCTTCTCTTTACAATTGAAATAATGTCTGCAAAAAAAGGACATTCAAAGTGAAATGAAGAATTTTTAATAGGACAGGTGATAATACTATAAAGGAGTGTGGTCTTTTACGCAGTACTACGTTTAGGTAGGAGTAGAACAGGTTACATGGAGCTAACATACACGTGGTTCAACTAAACCACTAAAATAACGTTGTATATAAGGTAGTGGTTTTAACTACGGACTTTTTAAAATTAGGCTTTTAACTAAGACTTTATTATATGTGCTATGTACGTAAGTCATATACATGCTCTTCACCTTGTTCAAATTTACCAAGATTAAATGATTTACGAAAATGTCAACCTGATCAGTGTAATAAGTGTGGGATGGTTTAATTTAATGGGAAATACTATCAATCATATATTATCAGTTCATGTTGAACAATCATATGGTTAAGTTTCCAAAAATCGTTCTTTTTTTTTCAAAAAGTATTCATACTTAAACTGGTCCTTTTAACTTTAAAATTAATTATAAGAAAACCTAACGTAGCCGGGATTATTAAAATCTAAGTAGCCATAATTTGATTATAATTCTCATAAGATACCATCTATGTTTCACGAAAACTTCCAGGAAAGAGTACGTTTTTGTTTCAGAAACTCTTTGCAAACTCTCTAATCAAGCGTTTTTTGAGCAAAAGATGGACGTTTCCCGGTTCCCGCTTTCTCATTATTTTTACGTTTCCGTGCAACATAGATACAAATGGATTGATAACTTTTTTAATTTGCGCTAAAGTGGGTAAGTTTGCAAATGTCTATACCACCTTTTATACAAATAATCTTGAGGGCTCTAAAACTAATGACCAGTTCAATCCTATTGAGCAACTGTTGACGTTACTAGATCAAAATGTTTCAAGGATAAGTGAAACATTCAATTGATAGGGCAGTAACTTAATACAGGGAATCTTAATACCGGTCTAATTGTTCATATTTTATCGGTGCCAAGAGTATTTCAATGCCTCTTCACGACAAAACACTTTGACTAGATCGTGTTGTTATTTATTTTTTAATCGATTTATGGTGTCATTTTTTTTTAATTTTATAGGGTCTCACACTATGGATAAGGAACATGTTTCGCACTCGTATCATTTTATGACATTGACTTTCATCTTAAAAAGTCAATTCAATATAAGTGATAACTCAAGATCCTTATACACTTCTCTTTGTCCCACATAACTTTGCTAACTTTCCTTGTTTCCGACATAACTTTGCTAACTTTCCTGGTTTAGAAGTCCTTTTAGTAAGCTGCAATCACAAAAGATTTACTTTCTTATTGCACATTCAATTCCATTTTGGTCAAATTTTTTGGGACGATGGAAGGAGTTTAATAATTTGTATTTCGCCCTCGTGAAATACTTCAACACATAACAATGAAAACTTGTCACCATTCTTAACAATCTTACCTCATTATTAGTGGGCAATTTGAAAATTCTATATAATAGGGTGGTTGAACTATTTTCACAATTTTGGTCCAAATGACAATGTTTTGTCTCACAGCAGTATAAATATCCATACACACTCTGCTCAAATTTCCTCACTCCAAGGCTCTCCTTTCTTAACCTCTTAAGATGTGAGTGATTCATACTTTGCATTTCTAGATCTTCTCTGGTCTTTTTGTTCTGCAACTCAGCATTCTATATTATCCAAGAGAGCTATTGTACAATGTGTTTATCAAGACTTTATTTTACTGCCATTTTTTCTTTCTGGCAAAATCTGATTCTTACTTTCTATGAATTATTGACTTTTGGAATTTATTAACTGCTGCTTATGTGATGTTAAAAAGAGAATAACATACAGATTTGTAACTGAGAATTTGAGCTTTACATTTCATGTACTTTTATTTGAATATGTGTTTTATTTGAGAATATCGATTCTGAAGTTCACAACTTCACATGCCAATCTGAATCAGTTTCAGCTTAATGAAATCCATACCATAGTAAGACTTAATGTTCCATCTTAGAAAGCCTTATAGGGGAAAGTATCTTTACATATTCAATAATGAATATGAAATGGTAACTACATTTTTCTTTTCCCACAATTCAAAAGATTCTATCATTTTTACCACGGAAATTGTACATGGAAATGTAAAATATCTTTAGAGTAGTTCTGCGTAAATTTTCTGGAAATGTAGCATGAACTCAATGACACAATTTTTTATGTTAAATTTGTCATGAAGTACTCCATAGGATCTTGAATGCAGAAGTTTCAGTTTTCTTAATTGCATTTAAAGCTAATGTGATATCTGCCGATCTAGAATCTGATATATACATACATTTGTAAAATGTTGAGCCATAACAGAAGGTCAATTGGTTAAGATGGAGAGTTACACCCCGAAGAACATCCTTATCACCGGAGCAGCCGGATTCATTGCATCCCATGTTACAAACAGACTCATGCGTAACCACCCAGGTTACAAGATCGTTGTTCTTGACAAACTAGACTACTGTTCCAATCTCAACAACCTTCTCCCATCCCGCTCATCCCCGAACTTCAAATTCGTCAAGGGCGACATCGGAAGTGCCGACCTGGTTAACCACCTCCTCGTCACCGAGTCCATCGACACCATCATGCATTTTGCTGCACAGACGCACGTTGACAACTCCTTCGGCAACAGCTTCGAGTTCACCAAGAACAACATTTACGGAACCCACGTGCTCTTGGAGGCCTGCAAAGTCGCAGCCGGTCAGATCAAACGCTTTATCCACGTCAGCACGGACGAGGTGTACGGTGAGACTGAAGAGGATGCGGTCGTGGGAAACCACGAGGCCTCACAGCTCCTCCCCACGAACCCGTATTCTGCCACGAAAGCGGGTGCAGAAATGTTGGTCATGGCTTATGGGAGGTCTTACGGTTTACCCGTTATAACAACCCGTGGGAATAATGTATATGGCCCCAACCAGTTCCCCGAGAAGTTGATCCCCAAATTCATTCTTTTAGCCATGAAGGGGTTAACTCTCCCTATACATGGGGACGGATCAAATGTCAGAAGCTATCTATATTGCGAAGACGTCGCAGAGGCATTTGAGGTTGTACTTCATAGGGGAGAGGTTGGCCATGTGTACAACATAGGGACGAAGAAAGAAAGGAGAGTGATCGATGTCGCGAGGGACATATGCGGTCTTTTTAACTTGGATCCGGAAACAAAAATCAAGTTTGTGGAGAACAGGCCATTCAATGATCAGAGATACTACTTGGATGATCAGAAGTTGAAGAATTTGGGTTGGTCAGAAAGAATGACTTGGGAGGATGGTTTAAGAAAGACTGTTGATTGGTATACTAAGAACCCTGATTGGTGGGGTGATGTATCTGGTGCATTGGTTCCCCATCCAAGGATGCTGATGATGCCCGGCAGAGTGGAGCAGCCATTGAAGAGCTCTGAATCTAATGGATTCCCCGAGAAGCCAAACCCGGAACACATGGTGGTCCCACATCTGAAAACCAGTAACTCATTGGTTCAAAAACACACCCCCTATAAGTTCTTGATCTATGGACGAACGGGTTGGATTGGCGGTTTGCTTGGGAAACTGTGTGAGAAGGATGGGATTGCTTATGAGTATGGAAGGGGGCGTCTGGAGGATAGGACACAACTATTGGCCGACTTACGGTCCGTTAAGCCTACTCATGTCTTCAATGCTGCAGGTATCACCGGTAGACCCAACATTGATTGGTGTGAGTCACACAAGACTGAAACCATACGCGCCAATGTTGCTGGTGTATTGACCTTAGCTGATGTATGCAGAGAGCATGGTCTCTTACTGGTAAACTTCGCCACTGGTTGTATTTTTGAATATGATGCAGCTCACCCACAGGGTTCGGGGATTGGATTCAAGGAGGAGGACATACCTAATTTCACGGGGTCTTTCTATTCCAAGACAAAGGCCATGGTAAACTTTGTCTCTCTTATGTTAATCTTTTCCCCCTTATGGCCGAGACCGTCCGATGTTTTTTGTCGGACTGAACCGGTTCAAGTGCCCCCCCCCCCCCTCCCTCCAAACTTTGTTGCAGTGATAATAAATGTGTATTCATGAGGTTTTGCTGCTTTCTTGAACCAGGTTGAGGAGCTATTAAAAGAATATGACAACGTATGTAATCTGAGAATTCGCATGCCCATATCTTCGGACCTCAAGAACCCGCGAAACTTTATTGGCAAAATCTCGCGTTATGATAAGGTGGTGAACATTCCAAACAGTATGACCATACTAGATGAGCTTCTCCCTATCTCCATTGAGATGGCAAAGCGTGACCTGAGGGGCATATGGAACTTCACAAACCCCGGGGTCGTGAGCCATAATGAGATTCTGGAGTTGTACAAACACTACATAGATCCAAAGTTTAGTTGGGTCAACTTCACACTTGAAGAGCAGGCAAAAGTGATCATTGCACCTCGGAGTAACAACGAGTTGGATGCATCCAAGTTGAAGAAAGAGTTCCCTCAGTTGCTGCATATCAAGGACTCCCTTATCAAGTACATCTTCGAACCAAACAAGAACACCAAAACCTCAGCCAAATAAACTTTATAGATTGTTTAAACCTTTATGAACTTATTCATTTCCCAGTGACTGCTGTACGGCAGCTTAAATAATCATTCTTAAATTCAGCCCACATTTAATGTTTTTTCTTTTGTTTTTATTTTGCTTTTATTGTTACGTTTGGGTAGTCATTACTCATTAGTGTCACTTTTTAGTTAAATTTTCCTGTTTTTATTGTGTGTCACTTCTACTTGAGCATGTTATTCTTGAACCTCAAAAAACTTCATAAAGAAATAAATAAATGTGTATGCAAAACAAACAACAACTTCCATTGATGAAAATGAAGATTCTGCAAATACTTATGTAGTACATTAGTACTGTGTAAATATATTAATTACACATTCAGCTAGTCGTAACCAATGCAATTGGAGCAAAGGGCTCATAAACATCTAAAGAATACACAAACTAATCACCCTTGCCCAAGAATCCTTCAGCCAACACCTTGACAGAGACAAGATAGATG